GATCTCCGCGAGCGCGGGAGGCAGGAGCAGGGAGCAAGGATAGCAACAAACAAAGCTGAGGGAGAGCAAAAGAAAAGGAGCCCACTGAAAAACGAATCTGTCGCATAATTACAAAAAAAAAAAAAAAAAAATGTGTCAGACACGGTGGAAAGTGGAAAAGCGGGGCTGCAAAGCTTTTATGTGGAAATGTCTAGACGCTGGAGGACCCAGCTGATGGATGGAAGGCGGTACCAAGGACGCAGGACGAAGGACGTGGAGCATATGTCAAAGCAAAGCGGCTGCCAATCTTTTTACCATTGTAATTGTTGTTGCCAAAGCTCCGATGCTACGGAATCAATATTTATCATTGTTGTCAACAGGCATGTTGTACAGTCCTTTAGGCCTGCGAAATATGTGGGTGGAGACGCACTCTCATAGCTCACATAATTAAGATAAAATTAGAAAACTCTTTGGTAAGCATAAAAGGAAGTCATGTTTGGGAATATTTTTAGCGGCCTGTAAAGGAAATTATTGAGGATTTTCCTTCCCTCTTTCCTTTTCACTACCTGTTCTGTGGGGTAAAGGGGGGAAAGTACTCCTTCTTAGTTACCCACAAAAATATTCCCAATAAATGCCAAGCATTTAAAGGGAGTTATTATTTTTGGTTTTTACTACAATCGACACTGGCCATAAAGCACTGGCCATCAAGAATGGTGATTCCGTTCGATTGATTGTGGCTCTAAAATGAATCAGACTGAAATCCGTCTAAAATCTGCAACATTTAATGGCATGTAGAAGACGTCGACGACGACGACGGCCATGATAATGATGATGGGTCAGCAGCAGTAGCAGCAGCAGAAATAATAAAAAACAAAAAAAAACAGCGCAAGAAAAAAGCTGGCCAAAAGGCAATTTAGCCATTCAGTTTTTTGCCGTATTTTTTTTCTCCCTTTTTGGCGGTTGTATTTTTTGTCTGGGCCAAGAGGCGCATTGATTTAAATTGGCCATTTCATTGCTTCATTATTTGCCTGGCGATTCTGCAAGATACTCAAGTTGATTGTTTGTTTTCCATGGCTCAGCGGTCTTTTATTTATCTCTCTTTCTATATATATATATATATATATATATTTATAGTGCTATGTTTTTCTGGTTGGGATTTCGCGAAGATTTGTGGAATTTCGAGAATCGCCCATTGACAGGTTAACTTTCGAACGAGAGGTCCTCCATTTTAACCTGATTACTCACGAAATTGACTAAGAAATTTGAAGCCCAGCCACGCGTCTTTTCTGTTTGGCCAAATTATGCAAATCGAGCAACATAAAAGAAGTCGGGGCCACAACATACGATCGGCGGGTCAAAGGCTCTCCCGTTTTCTTTTCAAATATATATATATATATATCTGGGCGACCCACTCGTCGTCTCAAGTCTGTCTACAAATGTGGATTTACTTAATCAAGTATTTATGTTGGCCTACAAAAGTTAAAATTATGTGGTGCCCATGGAGTGGCCGTCGCCTGGCCGCGTCCCTTTTCGCCAGAAGACAAATAAAAAAGGCAGCCAGAATGGTGAGTTTAGGCCAGAAGGATACCCTCTAGTCTATGGCCATAACTTTTGGTATTACTTTGATTTGATTGCTTCTATAAGATAAGTAATTTATCAATTTTGTTTCTTAACTTCTGCTAAAAAAAAAATAACGTATACGCAATGTTGGACCTTAATACACAACTCCATCTACTTCCTTGATATCAACTATATATTCTCATAATATACTCAGTTAATAACCAATTGATGGATATCAAAAATCCAGCAACAAGCGGAGAATATGTACCTCGTCTGCCAAGAAAACTCTCAAGGACGTCAACGAAATTGAAAACTTTTTTAATACCCATGGCCGTTGTCGTGGCTGCAGTCAAAAGAGCGAATCGACGGCGCAAATGTGTCAGGATTCGAATTAGAATTAGAATTAAAGACGCTGCAAGAAAGGACCAAGCATACCATATTCCACATACCCACACCCGAAGATCTCCCCGGGGGGAGTTTTCCAAGAACCATTTGGTTAACAGTTTCTGTTTGACTTTACAATTAGTTGGTCCACTCGGGCGCCTTGGGAAGTCCTTTGTTTCTGCACGGCTTTCGATTTGTTCAGTCGGTCGAAAAGATGCAATAACAGATGGCCTTGGTAGGCAGTACAGTGCGGTAGGAAACAGTAAGGCAAGGTTCTTGTTTGTATTTCATTTACTTAATGATAAAGTTCTGACATGGCTTAGATCTAAAGATTAACCGAATGCTAGTCTAGTATAAATATAAAATAAATTTCTTAGGTTTTTTTCTCTTCATCAAACAACAACCTTAACGTACTGACACACAGCTTACCGCCTAGAAATCCCTTCTATTGTTCTATTGAATAATTGAAGCTTTTCAATCTTATTTAATTAAGCAGCCAGGAGTTGGCCTGCCACAAGGATGCGTAGATGGATGGACAGGTTTTCTCGGGGCGCGTGTTCAGATTTCGGATCCCTTGGTCTGCTGACCACAGACACAGGGCCATAAAGGCGATGGGAGATTTGGCTGCCTGGTGCCTGATGCCTAGTGCCCTGATGATGGCTGGTATCTAGAGATTCTGTAAGAACACCCACTAAAGTGAATTGAATTTGGATTAAATCGAACGCATGTGCGTGTTTTCCTTTATTTTGGTTGCTGAGCCCTCTCATGAGCACTTCGATGGACAATGAAATTTCATTTCCCATTTTCTTGGAAGCGAAACCTGAATCCAGGAGTCCCTGGGCTTAGGGTCCAGGGAGCCAGGCAATTAAAAAATAATACACGGCTAGCAAATTGTGGCTCTTTGTCGGCCCCGGTCACGTCAGCCAATTCACATCACATCAGTGCCAAGCCAGGGCCTCAATTATCGGCCAACTGCAGATTCATTTTCAAGCTTCAGGCTTTCAGGCTCTTGAGTTCCTGGACACTGGGTCAAGTTGATTGGTATGCGGCTTAAGCCATGTTGTGTTTGTAGTTATTAGGGCTACTAAGAGTCCTTAAGCCTTATGGGAAAAGAGTATAGCTGCTTCTTAATAAGTTATTAGCTATAAATCTGGTTTGAAAGACCAAATATGGAGGTAGAGAGCAAGGAATGTCTGAAACTTTCAATTTTTTAAGTTTATTTCCTGAATTTTCACTTTACTTAACTATGAATACAGTATTTACTAATATCTGTGATAATTTGTATAATATTTATTCAACTCCTATATCCACTGTGCCGTGTCAGTGCAAAAATTGCAAAGGGCACGTTCGCTAGTGAAGCGGACAAGTGTGTCCGCCCCTTCCTTGCCATGATTGATTTGCATAATTGGCAGACTCGGCGACAAAGTGGATTAGAGTCGTCCGCCCAGGCACAGAAAACACACTCGAGATTTACAATTTGGCCTTTTCTATGGCCAACAAAAAAACACATTTCGGCAGACGAAATTAAAGCGAAAATAATTAACCTTTCAGCTGGAAAAAAGCACGAGTAAGCTGCCGGCATGGAAATGTGCAATTAAGCGAAGGGGTCAAAAAACATGCGATTTGCTTTTGATTAACAAATGTAAGAAAGTGAAAGTGAAAGCAATTCATAATATTATTTATTTGAATATCTACTTGGCTTTACCCCCAACCAAATTAACGAAAATTACAGCTTACGGGCTAAACTGCCTAAACAGGCTTTAAAATTCAATTTTCTTCGATTTGTGGTGTGTGTGGGTGGGGAGGTGGATATTCTATATTCTAAGCTATGTAAATCGTTCGACAAAGCCCGTGGCTGTCAACTAATGAAGTGCATAATTTACAAACGATTACAAACGATTCCCTTTGGCTGGCTTTACCTCCCCGCATCTACAGCCACACCCATTTGTCTGGGCCGCATTAAGTGATCAGAATTTGTTGCCTGAAACAGACAGAAACACTCGTAGCACCCATCTCGTCAGCTCATATCTGTACTACTTAAGCCCAATAAAGATGTGCATATTTTTTAGGCAATTACCAAAAGTTGGCGTGCGTACGCCTTTGTACTTTCTACTTCGTACTGATGTAACGCATGGCAGGCGAAATTATGATGTCGTTAATACAATTTCTATGCTGGCATGCTTGTACAGTGGAACATGGGTAAAAGAAACTCATTTCAAGTTGCATTTTTATGATTCCAATTACTTTTATTTCTCTAAATTCATTCTAAAACTGCTTCAGGTTTTAAAAAACAGGTTTCTCAAACTTCTTCTTAACTTAAATCTTAAAATCGCAATCGAAGCTGCTTCTCCTATAACCAGTACCTACTGCACACTCCATCAGGGTCCTTTATGTTTCACCACACGCAACCTAAATCAATTACGTAGAACAGGACAACAGCAGCCAAGAGCCATGATGTGCAACATTTCTCTGTGCTTTCTTTTTGGCCCTGGGTGTGTGGGAACACCTGTGGCAGCATCTGGCTGGGGGAAACGAAACAAAAGCATAAGGTTGCAGCTAGCTAGCTAATAACAAATCTCGGGAGCGGACAATAAGGCCCCCGCCAAAGTGAAAGTGAATTAAAAATATTTTTGCAAGACAGCAGCTAATCCTTTTAAAAAAGTTTGCCTAACTAATTGGGCACACAAATCAAATGGCGGCCAAAACCGCAAGAATAACAAAAACAAGGCGGCTAAAAAAAACGAAAAAGAAAAGAAAGGAAAAGAGGAGGCCCAAAAATAACAAAGACTAATTAAAACCATAACAAAGAATTGGCGTCAAGGGGAACCAAAGTTTGGACGAGAATAAATGGCAGAAGGTCAGAAGGCAAAAGTTCAACAGGCGAAAATTCAAAAATTACCGCCAACGAAAAAGTTGTAAAAGCTTTTTCAGCTTTTTGCTTATATCAAGCACCGATTTGCAATAGCTTTTGGAAGATATATTTAATTTATAAACCTTTAACTTTTCTAAGTCTGGTTAGGAAAGAAAGGGTTTTCCCATATAAACCTTATACCACCCCAAAAATGAAAACACAGCGATTTTGAAATTTGCCTTTGTGGAACATTTACTTGCAGACACATATTCGTACATACTTTATCATCTTTTAACTTACATACGTTGCGTAATATTCAATGGATTTCTGCTAATTTGATTTACTTATAGGAGAACTTTTCTAGTAAATACTGCAATAGCACTAAACAAAAATTCACTAACTTAAAAACAATTTATGGAAATATATGATGCAAAAGTTCTGTTCAATAAAAATACGTTTAGAAAAAAATTAATTAATGTAATAATAGGTTAAACACAGATAGTTTGTAGTTTACTTAAACATACAGTGGATCGAGACCCTAAGTGGCATTCTGAAATTTTCTTTCCTGTGGCGGGCTTTTCTTCCTTTCCCTTCCTACCTACCTTTGCCGCGTTCAAATACAAAAAAAAAATTATCGCGGTTTGTGTGTTTTTGCGTGTGTGTATGTGTGTTATGTTTTTTTTTTGTTTTTGTTTCTGTTTCTGTCATAGTGTATAAATTACAATTAATGATTTTTCGGGTTGTTTTGGTTTCAGTTTGGGGGAATAGCATATATAATATTCATATATCATATCTCGCATCTGATCACCCGGCCAGCTTACGCCTCTTTCTTGTGCTTAAACTTGTTCTTGAGCAGACCGGGCAACAGCGATGCACAGGCGCATACCATCAGGACACCCATCGAGGTCCAGGAGAATGCCTCACTCGAGCTGGTCATCTTCTGTAGCGTCTTGCCCGCCTGGATGGCAATCACCGAGGGCGGTGCCACGCCGCAGAAGGTGCCCAAGGCGAAGATGTGCAGCGGTACACCGATCACCGGCGATGCCAAGTTGATGAACCAATTGGGCAGGATCGGTGTCATGCGCAGGAATAGCATATAGTTGAACAGACTGTCCCGGTATTCCTCCACGTGCTTCGACCATTCGCTGGTCTTCTTTGGCCAGAAGTGACGGATCAGGCGGCGTCCGACCAGATTGGAAAGTGTATAGCATAGAGTGGCGCCCAGCGCCGAGCAGAAACAGATGAGGAACAGGGCGATCGGGAACTTGTACAGGAATCCGAGTAGAATCGACAGAAACAGCGATCCGGGAATGGCGAATGTTTGCAGGCTATAAATGGATGTCAATTGGGTCAAGGCAACCAATCGTAGGCGGTTCAATCTGAATAAAAGCTGCATTTTCTTCTATACAGTGGTAACTCAATTTAAAGGTTTCTTTGACTAAAATTACTCCTAAAAAAGCCTACTTCAGGTGCTTCTTTTTTTTACTTCTAAAATTTTTATAGAATTTTTCCCCTTAACCCTTTCATTAGTTATCATTTTCGAGACACTACTGTGCTTGGGATTAGCAGATCGTACGACTAGTTGGACGCGTGCTCGAACGTCTGTGGGCGAGTATTTATAGATGAAATGAATTGACAATGACACCCCCATCGTAACGAATAGACTCCGAGAATCCCGTAGATTCCTATCATCTGGCAACGGACCACGTATTCTACAAATGCCCGATAACATTTGCACGGGGGCAATAAAAAATGTTCACCCACACGCTCGCACACAGCTGCACCAAAATTTCGTTACGTATTTGCTTTGCCTTGGCTGGGGTCTGTTAAAAACGCAATTGAAATTAACAAAAAAAAAAAGAAAACGAAGAAGAAAAAAGAAGAGCAATAAACAAAAAGCACAAATCAAAACACTGACGACAACAAAAATTGTGTCCAGCTCAGCTGATTTCTGCGACGAAAACAGCAACAAACACAAAGAATGCGTCACACGAACGTCCAAAGTCGATTTTTGAGGTAGCAGCACACAGTACGTGCATTAAGGTGGATCTAAATTTATGAGTAACTTGTGATTATTACTAGTCGAAGAAGTTACGACTTAAAGTGACAGCCAACAAGTGAAAAGGTGTCCACATTGCGAATAAGTTATGTCAATACGCATACGCAATGTGGTCAAATTTGATTTAGGTTTAGATGAGGTCTTTAAATATTCGGTTAAAAGGCTTTTTAATTACTAAGGGGAACTGTTTACAGAAGAAAAAAAAAACCATTGACTAAGGTCCACCCTAGAGACTGCAAGTAGTAAGTGAGAGTGGGAAGGCAACATCAGCTGTTCTCTTGCTTCCTAGTGCCATCTTGCTCGCACTTCCGAGTGCTGCTGCCCACGTAATTAATATGCACACTATACGCTCCGATCGGTGATCGTGAATTAATTAAGGTAAAACATAAATACAAAAGAGCACACGATTGTACGACTGACCGTGAATAGTTTGTGGTGCGGGGTCTTAGTTTTTGGTAATCGGGTCAAGGTCACTTTCGGGCAATAGAACTCTTTAAGGCTTACCTAATCGTATGTCTATTGATATGGGTATTTGGGTTTTTTTTTTATATAAAAAAGGATACAATACGTAGGCGACCACCACGCCAAACATCACTTCAAAGTAGTACATATCCTTGTAGCGATCTAGGACCTTGGCCAGCATTTTAGCATCTTGGATATCACGAGGAATTTTCAAGTGTTGTTTCTCCGACCTGCGGAAATTGAGAAGAACAAGAGCGAGACGAGGTGTAAACATATGTCTGTATGTAGATATATTATATTGGTGGCGTGACTCGATGCGTGTGTGTGCGCAAATAAACCCTCTCGTCAGATAGTACTGTGAGTTCAGACATTTTCCAGTTAAATCTGGCTATTTATACGCATAAATTATGTCTTTTTTAAACTTTACTTAAAAGTTTTTTAGTAGATTGTCATTTAAATATGCATAAAAAGTTCCAAAAAGGTTTGACTATTTATAGCCTTTGTAATAAAACCTTATCAGTACTCCCCGAAAACGCCTCTTGAATGGAAGCAACGATAAGTGTGTTTATAATACCGTAAAAGATATCATCATTAGGTAACTATTGCCTTTTGCTTTATAATCACTATATGGCAAAACAGTAAATGACATGCTAACACAAAATTATACAAAACAGATAAGACAAGTTTCATTACTTTATCAATAACAAAAATTGGTCTAGCTAGGGACTTAAAAAAAGATTAAAAGATCTTCAAAAATCGTATTCAACCCCTTGCGTTTGCTAAAAGAAAAAAAAAAATTGACAAACAAAAAACTAAAAGATTATACAATGACTTGCTGATTTCATGCAAATCAAATTCCAACGAATCGGGGGACTTCAGAGTCTGAAGAATATACAATCAAACCTCTTGAACGAAACAATTGCTTATTACTATAGTCTCTGGCTGACTAAGTCGAATTTCAAGAAACAACCTATACTGTGTATACTTAAAGTGTATTTAAAAGGTTAGCTTATACTGAGAGTAAAAATTATAACGAACTAGCTATTCGTGTGATTTTTGTTTAAAGTAAATGATGTATACATCTTACAGATTGGCATATTTAAGTAGTAAGATAGATATTTCAGAACCCTAAGGAAACTAATTAGTTCTAAATATGTGGTTACACGAAGGGTCTATCGTAGTTGGATAGGTAGTAGCTAATTTAACTCGTCATCTCTGCTCGCAAATGAAGCGAGACAAACACACACATACACATGGAACCCACTTAACACCTTACAGGTGCACGAATGCGCTGGGGACACATCATTCGTGGCCCCAGATAGATCCACTTACGCATTGAGCTCGGGGAATATGGCGTATACGTAGCACATGGTGGCTAAACTGGCCACAAATATGCCTGCAACAATGACCAGGGACTTTTTCGTGGCCTTCTTCTCGTCGGGTGACATGGCCTGTTTTTGTGGTGTGGCCTGTTGTTGCGGGTTTGGATCCTGTTGCTCCTGTTGCGGCACTTGTGGCAATAATGGAGAAGCCAACTGACCCTGTGACTGTTCCTGGGGCGCCCTGGTCCTGCCGTTTCGCATCGTAATTCCCTTATCGGAGGACATTTCTAAAACAAAAATGGGCAGATAAAACAAATAAAAGAGGTACAACAACGTGCAAAGGGTGAAAATAATCACCACCGTCTGACAGAGAATAATCTGAGTTTTTAGCTTCCTAGCCAGCGCACTAACTACGGGTTAATCACCGTTCTTTCTCTCAGCTGATAAGCAAAAACAAAAAAAGCGGTGAATACTCACCCACACCAGTGCAGCACGACATTGCGGATTTGAAACGGTGTATGTAAGCCCGATTTTAAACTGTTTAAAAACCTTCTATAACCGATTTATTTCACGATTGACTCATTTAGCGTCTTAGCAATTTATCAATTGTTATGATTATGTGTGTGTGTATTTGCGCGCCAGCCACAATTTGTTGTTGTTTCCCTCTCTATCCGCGTGCCTGTGCGTATGTGTGCGAGTGTGTGTCTACTCACAATGAATTTAATCAATATAAAAAAAATAGGAAGTTGGCTAATAAAGTGTTGACAAAAGCAAGTGTCGTTGGCTACTGTATTCTCAGCGGTTTTATACGTTTTTTTTTTTTTTGTTGTTGTTAGTTTGACCGACTTATGAGACGCGCGCTCACGTTGAAAAATTAACTTAACTAGATTAAATTAATTTCATAAATTTCCGTCGCGACCAGTGTGACCGCGAGATCGGCTATGATGAATGCCAGCCAAAATTGTATTGTACTACAAATATACCATACATATTACAGAACCAAAAATTAATCTGGCCACACTGCAGCAAATAACGTTTTGTTTAAATTATATTTCTTTAAATAAAATTAAAAAAAGGGAACGATTTTTGTAAATATTCAGTAAATAACAAATGTATTTATTTAACATCAGTCACTAACCATAATATTTCTATAGTTAAAAAAAAGTTTTGTGTTGGAAAAATAGTCTAAGTTCTTTTAGGCATCCGCTGTCGTCTTGTTCTTTAGCTGGCGGTACAGTAAAACCATTTTATTGCGCTCCGATTCGAGCATAGATCTTGTGGCCAAGGGCAGATCTTTCCGCTTGCCCTTCATCTGCGCCTTGGTGGGCGTTTTAAACAAGCTCTTCGATTTAGCTGACAACTTTGTCAGACTACTTTCTTCCGGTTCCTGCTCTGAATTCGGGAATTTTTTCGCATCTAGCATAGATTTGAGAAGGAGATTGGCCTTGCGCCCTGGTCGGGGCACTGTCTCACTTTTTTCCGCCTTGCGTGGCAGAATTTTAAGGGAAGGTGGTGCATGGACAACCTCTCCAAATGCTACAACATCATGTTTGTATTCCGTTGGCCCCGCTTTTTGCTTCTCCTCGGTGTCGACCTCTTGTTGGGCCTCCTTGTACGCTCTTTTGATTAATTCCCGACTAGTTTTGGCATCCATAGTTGATTTTTGTACGATTTGAGTCTTCTTACGACCCTTCTTGCCAGCCAAACGTTGCTCCTTTTGCTTCTGTTTGAGTAGCTCATCAATCTCGTTTTTGGGCCTCTTTTGAACAGTAATCTCACCGGTTTTGGGGTTCCTTATCACATTTACTCCATACTTGGCCTCGTAGTGGGCTTCCCGTACGGATGCACTGGTAATGCGGTTCACACGACGCAGATAATCCTCATCCGTCTCGTTGGCAAACTGCTTGATGTTACGCGTTTCCTTGGAGGTACTGGTTTTGACACCTGGAGAAGATTTTGGTCTATCCTCTCGACCAATTTCACCCAGATTCAGTTTCTTTCCCGTTTTTGTAGCATCGGCCAGCTGCTGGAACTGCCGGAACTTGAAAGACACCTGCTGCTCGTCCTTTCTCACAGGCGGATTGTTGGTTACTTTGGAAAGTCTGCAATGTGGAGTGAACATTAGTTAAAATTGTTTTCCTTTCGTATTTAACAATGTGTGTACTTTTTCTCCTTCTGTTCCTGCTGCTTGAGAGGATCTCGGATACCGTGGTGCTTGCGCACGGGAATCTTTCGTTTTCGAGCCATTAAATGTGTTCTTCCTTTATTTTTATAAAATAAACGACTAAACTCGTGGTCGAAAACTCAAAACGCATTATGCTGGAAAATACCAAAACTAAGCTAAACATACCAAATCGAAAATCACTGTTAGCCTAGACTAAAACCTTTGGCGCCCGATAAATGTATTTTATTAATTTTAAATTCAGAACTGGTATAACGGATTAAATAAAATATTTTTTTTACTTAAAAATCTTATAGTCAGTTTTGTTTGTTTCTTTTCGTTTTATTAGTTCTTTATCATGTTTTAAAAATTTAAATTCAGTCTTTTTTAGTTTTAAGGTTACACATAACATATTCTGTGAAATTTCCAAAAGATCAAATTCAGTTTCGTGTGTGTATGTAAACTACTTCTGCATTCGTTTTTTTAATACCCAAATTAATTTCTGCCAGTAAGTGTGAGATCGTTATCATCGCTAAAGCTTAGAAAGTTGTCATCGTTGATATTGTTACTTGAAGAGTATAATGGTCTTCATGGCTGCTTAAAGAACTCAGGCATTGAGAACTCCTCTTCCTCCAGTTTGAGGCGCTTATTGGGTGTTGGCTCGTAGACTTCTAGATCTATATTGTTTTTTAACAGTTGGCTTTTAGTAAAACTGTTAAGAATGCCGTTGGAGGTAGTTGGTATATCGTCGCTATTGAAGCTTTTATCAGGCGTGATCTCGCATTCTTGCCGTTTTTTTGGGGTGACGGACAAGTTGCCCACCAATTCAACCAATTTCTGTTCATCTGATTTGGATTTAATCTCATCTACATTTACGTCCTGCTCATTTGGATCTTTCTCTCCTGATGGCTCGTTCCCAGATTTCTTATCGTCTGATCCGGATTCCATTTCAAATTCCTCCACTACCGGAATTAACATAGGTTCAGAATTCTCAACTTCCTTTTCCTCTTCCTCATTCTCTTGCCCTTGATCTTCTTCTACCTCATCCTCCTCAAATCCTTCATCGTCATCCTCCGTTTCGTCCTCGTACTCCTCATCTGAATACTCGTCTTCTTCAAATTCTGCTAAGGCGTCCTCCATTTGTTCCTCCAATAGCTCCAAGAATTCTAGTTCTCTCAATTGTAAAAGAAAATCTTCAACCGTCTCTATAAACTGGTTTAGCGTCGGAGATTCCAAATCTGGCACATCCTCCATGCAATTATCTAAATTGGATCGTCGCGTGTTCTTAAACAAAAGGTTGTTGAGAAAGTCCGAAGTAAATGGATTTTTCGGAAGCTGTGCATCGACAGATGAAAAAAGGATAACAAAGTTATTCAATTAAAAAATAAGTTTGATTTTACTCTAAAAAATATAGTTATTCTGTAAGTACCCACCTCTATCTGGAGTTCGTTGATCAAATTGCTCATCTGAACGATGCTGACTTTTTTCTGCTTACGAATATCAGTGATACTTATAATTGAAATCAACCACTGGCGATCCAGCTCACTTAGTTCTTGTTCTATAGCGCCTACCGTCTTCTCGGCCTCGTATTTTAAGCCCTTTTCCTGACGAAATTGTTGAACTACAAATAAGCATAAAAGTTTCAAGTTTCATACATAAAATTGTAATATCAGAAATCTTACCGATGTTGCGTAATTCGAGAATGTCTTGATCTTTTAAGAGCTTTATTTGGCTTTGAGCGTGCAGGTCCTTGCGCTGCACCGCGTAGTAGATAATGTTCTGCAGACCGGCTTTTTCGAGCAGGTGCTCCATTCGGTTTATTTGGAACATACAATGCTGCATCATGGCTTTAGTTTGTTTCATTATATCCTCATTTTCCTTGAAATTGGCAGCGCCAAGCTTGACAGGAGTTACATCAAGCAAGGGCTCCTCCATTTTCGAGAAAATCACTGTGACAAGCAAAAACATGTTTTTTACCTCCTAACGTTTTCGAATTTATCCCCACTTACCGTCTTTTACGGCGACTGGTTTGTATCCCTTCTTGGCTTCCTCCTCGAGCTGAGACATTAGCTCATCATTTTGCCATTTTTGGCCGATATTATCGCTGGCAAGCGGATAGTTTTCCATTTTTCAGCTGTTTCCTTCGGTTGTTCGACAAATTTTCAACTTTGCGCGTTGACAAGCTTAAAATGTCAACTTTGTAAGCAGTGTTAGAAGATCTATCATAAAACTAAAAATCGCAGCAATCCCGATATATATCGCAAGAATAAGTTAAAATCTTTTATGCAAACACTATTCTATACTAAAAAAAAAAAATTACTTTGAATTTAGTACTAAGAAATACCTTTATTTGATTGAATCATTTTAAAGTAACACATTAACATTTCGTTTCAGTTTTGCAAAACGCCTTACTGAAAATCAGCTGTGAGCGGTGCTTTTTTAAAAAACAAAAACATACATATGTACATAGCTCAAGGGCAGATTTTCATAATTTTTATTAATTTAGATTTAATTTTTTCATATTCTTCTGCGAATTTCGGGTAACTTGGCGAGCCATTGTTTCCTAGCCATTACATTTTTCTTTAAATAAATTAAACAACCAAACTCGAGTTTTTCGATTTGGTTTTATTTGGTTTTTAAAAACTAAAATTGACATTTTTCTTCTGATTTATCATTTTTAATCTAAACATAATAGTACTTTGTGAAATCACCCATATTTAAAATGGGTGTGTAAAAGATTCTGATTTTTAGAATTATAATATGTATGATCCGTCAGTAATTGTATCATTATCATCGCTAAAATTTAGCAAGTAATCATCATTAATATCGTTACTGGGAGAGGAGAATCGTAGAGATTGGTCCTCATTGCTCTCAAAAGTGGAAGATGGCTGTTTGAAGAACTCAGGCACAGGTTGAGTCATTGGAAACTCTTCCTCATCCACTTTGCGTCGCTTATTCGGCGTTGCTTCGTATTCGTTTAGATCTATAAAATGTTTTGACGATTGGCTAGTAGTACAGCGATTGCGAATACCGGTGGAGGTACTAGGTATATCGTCGCTATCCTTCAAAGTGAAGTTTTTAGCAGGCGAGATGATCTCCACGCTAATTATTTTCGGTTTTTCGGGGCGGGAGGACTTGTTACTTATCAATTCAACCGTTTTCTGGTCCTTAACTTTGAGTTTCATTCCATCATTTTCATTTTCTGGCAGGTTATTGGGGGTTTCTTCTCCTGATGCCTCACTAACAGATTCCTTATCATCTGATTCGGGTTCCTCGATATCTGATCCAGATTTCTCTTCATACCCTTCCAGCTCTAGATTCAGCATTATCTCTGAATCGTTTTTTTCTTCTTTTTCCTCGAATTCTTCATCATCAACCTCAATTTCGTCCTCGAACTCCTCCTCATCTTTTGGTTCCTCAAATTCTTGTTCTAATGACTCCTCTAATTCTTCGTCTAATGACTCCTCTAATTCTTCATTTAATGGATCCACTGATTCCTCATTTGGGGCTTCTGCCTCTTCTGATTCTAAGAGCCAATCATTCTCCTCTGATTTTACTTCAACAATCCGCGTAAGCTTTGGATCGGGAGCAAATCGAACTTGCTTCGTTGGTACGTTAGGGACGATATCAAATATCTCTTCCGTACGATTAATTAAAATGGATCGAAGCGGTGTCTCCTTTATCTGACTCCGGTCATCCTCACTTTCGTCTTTTTCCTCGTCTTGATTGCCCTTCTCTATGGGCTTCGTGATCAAAAAGTCATTGATAAAGTCCAACGCTGACTGAAATGGTGAAGCAACGCCAGATGAGCTCGCCCGAAGCTTTGCATTGCTAGGTGAAACAAAATCCTTTCCAACAAAATCAATTTTCTTAAAGTTCTTTTGTTTTAGCTAGAGTAAAAAAGGTTGCTCAATTAAAAAATAATGTTGATTTTACTGTTAAATGTATGGATATTCTGTAAGTACCCACCTGTAACTGCAACTCGTTAATCAAGTTGCTCATATGTATGATGCTGACTATCTTCTGGTTACGATCATTAGTCATACTTGTGATTGAAATCGCCCACTGGCGATCCAGCTGACCTAGTTCGTGTTCCACAGCGCCTAGCTTCTTTTCGGCCTCCTCTTTAAAGCCCTGTTCTTGACGAAATTCTTTAACTACAAATAAACATATTTTATAATTTGCTAGTACATACATATCATAATATTAAGAATCTTACCAATGTTGCGAGATTCAAGGATGATTTTCTGCTGCTCCTCAAGTACTGCCTGATCCTCAAATAACGTCATTTGGCTCTGGACCAGCAGCTCCTTTTGCTGCACTGCGTAGTAGAGGATGTCCTGCAAACCGGCGTTTTCGAGCAGCTGCTCCATTCGCGTTATTTGAAACATACACTGCTGCATCATCGCATTAGTCTGTTCCATCATATCCTTATTCTCCTTGACATTGGCGACACCTAGCTTAACTAGAGTTACGTCAAACATGAGCTCCTCCATTTTCGGGTAAATAGCTGTGACAAGCAGAAACATGATTTTACCTCGTAACGTTTTCGAATTTAACCCCACTTACCCTCTTCTATGGCGACTTGTTCGTTTCCTTTTTTGATTTCCTCTTCGAGCTGAGACATTAGCTCATCATTTTGCCAGTTTTGCCCGAGATAATCGGTGGCAAGCGGATATTTTTCCATTTTCGTATTTTTCTTTTCGGTTCGTCGATAAATTTTTAAGTTTGCGCGTTTCCCGACTCACAAAGACAATCGACTTCGGATACAGTGTTAGAAGATACCTCATAATACCATAATCGATATATATCGTTATTTAAATTAAATAATTTAAACAATTATTGTTAAGAAAAAGTACCTTTAAATAAAAATAAACCATAAAAGATTGTAAGGAAAGCTTTAAAGTTATCAGCATATTATTAAAAGCTCAGATAAATTCCATAATATTTAATTGATTAAATGTAATCCCTTGTTGGTCTATCAGTCGAATTTTAAATATTTGTTTCTGTAAATGGTGCAATAAGTATCATCAAATCCTTTGGCGTATGATTAGAACACATAAAAGTTAAGTATAAAAGTGTCCATCCTTAACTGCCCGTGTCAGTGTTAAAAAACGATCCACTGAAAATCAGCTGTGAGCGGTGCTTGTTAAAAAAGCAGGCGACTTCACATAACACAAGAGCAAATTTTCAGCCTTTTCATTATTTTGGAAACGCCAGAATGCTGACAAACTGTGCCTCCAAGACGCTGGCCGCTGTGGTAAGTGATAAATTCCCCTAAAATTCAGCCATTAACATTGGCCATAAGGGAGGAGAATTTACCTGCTCTCTGGGTTATATAATTCACAACAAGAAAACAATAACATTAAGGATATGTCTTAAAATTTGCAGCGCGCCAACATCCGGGCAATTGCCACCAGCAGTGCCCGGGCCAGCGAGAATCTGTTTGTGCACCGCGACACGCCAGAGGATAACCCCAACATCCCCTTCGAGTTTACAGCGGAAAACAAGAAACGCGTCGAGGCCATACTAAGCATCTATCCGGAGGGCCACAAGCGCGGTGCCATGATTCCGCTACTGGATCTTGCCCAACGCCAATATGGCTGGCTACCCATCTCCGCCATGCACAAGGTGGCCGAGATCCTTCAGTTGCCAAACATGCGCGTCTACGAAGTGGCCACCTTCTATACGATGTTCATGCGTAAACCCACTGGCAAGTACCACATTCAGGTGTGCACCACTACGCCCTGCTGGCTGCGCGGATCTGACGACATTCTGGAGACCTGCAAGAAGCAGCTGGGCATCGGCGTTGGTGATACCACCAAGGACAAAAAGTTCACCATCTCAGAGGTTGAGTGTTTGGGCGCCTGTGTCAATGCACCCATGGTGGCAATCAACGATGACTACTATGTAAGCAATTCCAGTCGTTGAAAGTATTCTTCGTCATCATAGGCGATTTCCTAACATTTTTTTTGATGTGCAGGAGGACCTGACGGCCAAGGACATGCAGGACATCCTTAACGATCTGAAAGCTGATAAGATTTCGCCCCCTGGCCCCCGCAACGGTCGCTTTGCTAGCGAGCCGAAGGGCGAGCCCACATCTTTGAGCGAAGAGCCTAAGGGACCTGGTTTCGGTCTGCAGGCCGGCCTCTAGAGGATTAGCAATGGAGCAGAACCTATCACTGATTGTCGAACGAAAGTTAAATAAATATTAAGCAACTCTTAGAGGTCATTGATAAGAGCTTTTCGATCAATTTTTTTGCGGGATACTTTGTCCAACTATATATTTCCTTTAGAACACTTTAAATTCTACAGTAAGACAATATGTTTTTTTGTTTATTAGAATACAAATTTAGCTCACATTTTCATTTAAACATAGAATTTTTAATATTAAACGAAAAGATAGTACAGCGAATTAAGCTGGTTCCCGAATTATTTAAAAGCTTTGCTACAAATTAAGCTACATATACTTACCAGAGAGCCCCCAAAAAAGTATTTTGATCGATTGAATTTTGACATGGTTTACATTTATTTATTAGATTTCATCATATTGGAGGCATTTGTGCCCCTTGCTAATTGTTATGCGACATAATTACTTTGTATAAACTATTGCATACATATTACGAATGGAGACGAATGGAAAGAGTAGTTGGTACTAGGCTATTTGCAGCTGTGGCAAAATAAGTCATTTACCCAAAAGACAAAAACTAAGGTTAAAAAATTGCTAAAGTTCACCTTATGGGTGAAAGTTATTATAGGTATTTTAGATCTAGGTTTATATTGCTTACATACTAAGCTGGTTGATTGCAGCACAACCAGATATAATACTACATACATAATGTACTGCAATCAAGCGCCAGACCTCACTTAGTTGCTAGATAAATCTTTATTTTAATATGGTTGTAATGTGTTACATGGCATGGAGTGGATTGTGTATCAGCTGCTGATCGCCAGGATTCCGGGGGCGAAGATTTTCCCAACCGTGCTTCCAACGATTTCATGACTTCTTTGTCCTCCATCTTCCCCTCCATGTACACCGCCGCAAATTATCCTTAAACCGAAACATCGAAAAAAAAAAGGAAGAGTACTACAATTTTATATGGGCCGCCTCCGCCGACAAGCATTTTGTGGGGGCGCGGCTGTTGCCCGTCCTCAGTCCTCGCCGTAAAAGACGCTGAAAGTAAGGAGTGATATAAATAGGAACATATAAACAAGGCAAGAGACACAGAAGGAATATGCATATGTACAAAACTAAAATAGAAACTCGCAACCCAGGAATTCAAAAAACATAACAAACATTTAGCAATTCGATTAAACTAAGACATTTTAAAGGAACCTAGAAACCCTTGTTTACTAAAAAGGTTTTACTAACGAAACGGAATCCTGGTAAGAAACAAAAATTTTAAAACAATGAGGAATATTTACTATTATAAACTACTTTAGAACTGTGTCAATATTCTAACCTTATTTTTTTGTATATAGAGATATTAAACGCACCGGTTCTTGGCGGCAGCCCGCTTGGAGGAGCGTTCTATACGATTGTGTATATTTGTCCTTGGGTAACATTCGTTAACGAGTCGCTTTGTCTTCTTTGGCGACTCGCGCAGCTCTTTAATATCTACGTTCTTCTGTGTGATCAGATCGCGCTTGAACTTTTCAATTAAGCCCTCGCAGGATAGATTTGACTCCGGCTCCCATGTGTCGTCCTTGGCACCGAAGCCCTTCCATCTGATTCGATATAGACCACCACTTTCCTCCACAAAATCAATTATTCGCTCCACAACCCACTCTTTTTCAGGATCAGCAGGTGGAGCTGTTTTCTTTGTGCCTGCAGGTGCACGACCTCGTCCTCCAACTTTCTTGGCCGGCTTTGGTGCCTTACCTTTGGCCGACTTAGGTTCCTGCTAAACATTAAAAATCTATCAGTTACTGTCTTAAAAACTAAAGTAACTACATAGGTCTATGCATAAGAAACTGGGTTTTACTTCATTTGCCGAGCTTTAAAATGTTTCCCATGGCTTTGAGGCGTCTTCCAACGGTGCTCTGCTCAACATTCAATTGTTTGGCTAATTGTTCTTGGGTTTGGCCATCGTCCTGATCAAGCAAAGCCTGCAATTCAGTGTCCTGAAACTTTCCATACTCTTCATTCTCCGCTCCAAATTCACCGCTCCGGAATTTTTTAAACCAGGCTTGGCAACTTCTAATGCTTAGGGCATGCACGCCGTAAGCCTTCACAATAATTTTTTGGGCTTGCACAGCAGTTTTCTTTAAAAGAAAACAGAAAAGCAACGATGTCCGCGAATCGTGGTTTGCGGGTATCAAACTCGACATTTTCAATTAAAAAGAAAATTTCTATTGAAAAAAAACTCGCAAATACCGTTTAAGCAGCGTTGCCAGATGTCTAAAGATCTTAAAAAATTTTTACCAAACATTTATCAAACACTATTGTCACCGATAATTAACAATGGAGTAAAACGCAGTTTCATATGCATAGACCTGGTAAATGTAGTTAAATATTTTGACTTATTTGATTTAAACTATTTATTTACCTCAGCTTTGAATTTTTCAATTAACAAGTCGCAGTGAAGATCTGCCTCCGGCATCCAAGTGTCCTCGTCCTTGGTATAACCCTTCCAGCGCACTAGGAAGTGTGTAGCACCCTTAACCGTCTTTTTGCCGACGATCGCCTCCACCTTAAAGAGATTGTTTACGTATCTTATTAAATTTCAAATGATCAAACGACAACTTCCAATGTTTATGCTTTGGAAGTACAACAATTTGGTACACTCATCAAAATTAAAAAATAATAAACTGTGATGAGTTGATTCTTTTTACGGACAAAAAATAATTAGTAAACGAAAAATTTTCTTGTTTAAATAATCGGAGAAACAAAAAATCTTGGACTAATTGGAAAACGGATAACAATATAGGCTTATAAGTCAAAGCCATTTTCCGACTGAAATCTTAAATGACATTTCTATGTCCCACCTCATATTCCGGTTCTTCGTCGCTTTTTACCGGCTCCGCCTCTTTTGCCGGTACTTCTGGTGCTTCTTGTTTCTTGCCATTTTTTGCGGCAGGAGCGGGAGTCGCCTTGGACCGGCTCATCTTTCGCTTCTTGGGTGAAGATGAACCACCAGCAGCAGAGGCAGTGGCAGAAGTGGTGGCGGCGGCGGTAGTAGTGGCTGCAGCGGCAGCGCTGGACACCTTGTTGCCATTGTTAAGGGGTTGGTCATCGCTGTCTTCGGATGCCGAGCGCACTGCCGCCCGGGACTTGCGTTTTGGCAACGTCTTCTTCGACGATCCGGCTGTAGATTGGGAGGCAGATGAGCCGGTGTCCCCATTGGAGCCAGGCCGATCCTTGTCCTCGTTCTCGCTTTCTGGGGCGGTACCATTCTTCCGCTTGGTATCCGCCGATTCGCGCTTCTTGCGACTTAGTTCCTCGACTACCTTCTTTTTGCCCAGCTTGACCATGTTGCGTCCTGTTTTTCAATTCTCTATTCGGATTCTGATTGCCAATCCGGCCAAAATCGGATGTATCAATTGTTTACTCTGCCCTTTTCTTTTGCCGCGTTCTTATCGCAAAACAAACTCCGTTCCGTTCCGAGTTTTTCGACGAGACGAGACGACTGTACACTTGGCAGTGTTACCATATGGCTTAACGGCTTTTTACCCAGAAATGCTATCATCCAGCCCTGATTTCCGACGCAGCTGTCAAGTTTCTTGATTTATTTAATTAAGAAAGAAACTAAGTACAAAAATTGTTTCCGCTTCTTTTACAGACTAACGTGCATCAAATTAAACAATTAATTTTAGGAAACGATAAAGTTTTGAATTTTAATTCAGAGCTAAACGTTTGCCATCTGGCAACATTTCTTATCACCCCAAATTCAAATTCTAACGGTCATGCAATACTAAAAACAAAACTTTGAAGTTAATAAGATTTATACAAGTTAACAAAATATATTTTTCAAAAACAACATTCTCAAATTTTGAACCTAATATTTTAATACAACACATTTAAGAAGGAACTTTAGGTTAGGGGTATCCCGCCATTTGTTTTTTGGCCTGGTTCATGTCATGGGTTCATGACTGCGGACGGCACTGGCACAAGAGGTGGACGCAATACGATTTATTTTAAATCGATACTCACTAAAAACCGCGTGCAATTTTCAATCGTATCGTATCGGAACGGAATCCAATGTGATCCATTTTGGCCAGGCCAGTAAACAGAGGGAATGCAGCGACAGAAACCCAAAGGACCGGGCAAACCCGGTCCACGATTCAAACCGGGATCCGGGAAAGCTAAAGGAGGACCTGGTGGCCGTGGAAACGGCGATAACAAACAAAAGCGTTCTCGCCAAGAGTTCAACAAATCCCGACTGGCAGCCACCGATGCTGAGATCAAGGAACTGCAGGCCAAGTATGCAGAAATTGATGCTCCAGCCATCAAGAAGTTCGCACAGTTTCCTCTGTCCAAAAAGACCCAAAAGGCGCTGGCGGAGTTCAAGTACGTGAATCCTACGCAGGTGCAGCGGGAGAGTATCGGACCTGCACTGCAGGGCAAGGATGTGCTGGGTGCTGCGGTTACAGGCAGTGGCAAGACACTGGCCTTTCTTATACCCGTAAGTTGATAGTCAGGGATTTCCCGCGACAGAAATCTTAGAAGTTTAGTTAAACAATTGCCACTCATCTCTTACAGGTTCTGGAGCATCTTTTCATCAACAAATGGTCGCGCACCGATGGCGTTGGCGCTATCATCATCTCGCCCACCCGTGAGCTGGCATATCAGATCTTCGAGACCCTTAAGAAGGTGGGCAAGCACCATGACTTCTCCGCCGGCCTAATCATCGGCGGAAAGAACCTAAAATTCGAACGCACTCGTATGGACCAGTGTAACATACTGATCTGCACACCCGGCCGCTTGCTACAACACATGGACGAGAACCCGCTATTCAATACGAGCACCATGGAGGTGTTGGTTTTGGACGAAGCCGATCGCTGTTTGGACATGGGCTTCCAGAAGACGCTAAATTCGATTATTGAAAATTTCCCACCCGTCCGGCAGACGCTGCTCTTTTCGGCAACTCAAACGAATACTGTTCAGGATTTAGCGAGGCTTAATCTGAAGGATCCAGTCTATGTGGGCTATGGAGCAGCCACGCCCGGGGAAGAGCCCTCAAGTTCTAAGAAGGGTCCGAGCACCGCTATCTTGGCCGTACCTGAGCTCCTGCAGCAAAGCTATGTGGTGCTGAACCTTGAGGACAAAATCACCATGCTATGGTCATTCATTAAGAATCATCAGAAGCAAAAGATCATAGTGTTTGTGTCCAGTTGTAAGCAGGCCAAGTACCTGTACGAAATCTTTTGCAAACTGCGTCCGGGTAGCCCATTGCTAGCTCTATACGGTACCCTTCATCAGGATCGTCGCATTGCTATCTATGAGGATTTCCTTCGCAAGGGCCACGTGGTCATGTTCTCTACGGACGTCGCGTCACGTGGTCTTGATTTTCCTGCCGTGAATTGGGTGGTGCAGTTGGACTGCCCGGAGGATGTCTCGCAGTATATTCATCGAGCTGGTCGCTCTGCCCGAAATAAGACTCGCGGGGAGTGTCTTCTGGTATTGACACCCAGCGAGGAGGAGTACATGATTGGTGCACTCAAGGACCAGCTGAATATTAACATTCGTTGTGTGCAAATCGATCCCAAAAAGCTCTTCTCGCCGCGCGTCAAAATCGAAGCCTTTCTGGCTCAATTTCCTGAGCTGAGGGCCACCGCCCAGCGTGCCTTCCTGTCCTACATAAAATCCGTATTCCTGATGCGCAACAAGCGTCTGTTTAATGTCTTTAGCCTGGATCTAGATGCATTTGCTCAGTCGCTTGGCCTAGCGGTTACGCCGCGCGTTCCCTTCCTCGAAAAATTCCTGTGGCGCCAGAAGCAGCTGCAGCAGCAAAAGGAACAGGGCGATGTACCACCGGTCACTAATCCAGTTCTCAGCAAGATGACCAAACAACAGACCTTTGGCGGTGCTGATGACGATGATGATGATAGTGATGACGAAGACTTTATTAAGGTAAAACGTAAGGATCATGATGTCGAAGGAGATCCAGTGGAATTAGACCAAGTCGAGGGTGAGGAGGATGTGCCTGAGGCGCCACTTGTTGTGCCCAAGCGGGAGAAACTCGTGACCAAGGCTTCGTTGGCTAAGAAAGCGCTAAAGAAGAACCTGCAGGTCAACTCCAAACTGAAGTTTGATGAGGAGGGCGAAACTATGGCGGACGATCGTAACCAGATGAAGGCTCTGAGTGCCAGGCAGAGAACAGAAAACAATGACGAAGACGATGGAGGCATTGATCTGGTATTATCCAAGGCGCTGCTGACCGAGGAGGATCAGTATGATAAGCAACGGTTCAGGGAGCTCGTTAAAAAACGACACAAACTGCAGCGTGAGAAGCTGCGCAAGAAGGCAGAGGAGGCCAAGGGCAGCGATGAAGAGGTGGAAGAAGAGGATGCTGATGATGCCGAAGATGCTGGTAGTGAGAGTGACCATTCAGTGGACCTTTCATGGCTGCCAGATCCCGACAAGATCTATAAAAATAAGGATGACAATGGGGTTCAAAATTCTGAATCTGAATCGGAGCCAGGTAATGGAACCGATCAGGAGGAAGATGATGGGGACAGTGATGATGTATCTGACGATGAGCCCGCCTACAAGAAGTCTAAGCTTACTAATAAGATGACTCTAATGGACACGGAGGCCATTGCAGCCAGTCTTTTGGGTAGCTGAGTAAGGTGCTTGACTGTGTGAATAAATTAATGCATATAATTTTCTAATTATTTGTTAGTTTTTAAAGTCATACGCTGTTTCATTAGTAAAACTTTTCAATTTTAATACCTTTGATGTAGCAAATCTTAAAGTTCAAGTTTAAAGATTACAGAAAATCTTTGCATTAAGGTTTTCAAAAGTTGAAAAACGTATAAAGATACCTGGATAAAAATGAAATATATGCTTTAAAAAGCAATACAATATTAGAATTCCGCATTTCAAAATTAAAACCAACATTTAAGGATCGAATATAAAGAATCAAGGTCATCAAACTAAGAGAGATTAAAACCCTGATCAACTCCCAGTAAAAAGTCGCTTTCCAAATGCTTCACAAATATTTGGAAAATGCCCACAAATTTATTTTTGTTTTGTTTGATTTGATTTCATTATTTTTTCTCTCGTCGTTTGTGGCGGCGCCTTCACATCGCAACCCCAGCCCTTTTGGATGGAGCCCAGGAGCAGTGGTCACCAATATTTGACTTGGGGGATACGGGGACTATCCATGGATCCGGGATTCAGAATCCAAAATCCGGAGCGTGGGAGAGTGTGATGTGGAACTGGACGAGCGGGACGGGGAGAAGGGTTGCTGCATTTTGCGCATGGGGATTTGTTGTTTTTTTGTTTTCAATTTTTATGGGGCTGGGAATCCCCTTTTCCGTTAAAAAGGGGGGCTTGGCTGCTTGGCATGGGCGTGGCATAAAATTTGCTTTTAAAAATATCATTACACATCACGTCAATTACAATTTTTTTGTTCGTTTTGTTTTTAAGTTTTTTTTTTTGTTTCGTTTAGACATATTTGCTTGGTTTTTTCGTTTTTTTTTTTTTTGTTTTGTTTTTCAGTTTAGCGTATATATGTACGTGTACAAATAATGCAATAGACACACATCTATACAAATTATACTATATAATCGGTTAAGTTTTTCTTTTCTTTTTCTCTCTTGTCATTTTGTTGTAAACTTTTTATTTTGAGTGCTTATTTCGGCTTCGGCTTTCTTCTGTTTTTTCGTTTTGGCAACAGATCTCGCGTTATTTTCTTCCTTTAAGTTTGAGGTCCGTTCTCTCAGACACAAGATACACAATTAAGTTTTCGGGTTTTGGTTTTTGGGTTTCGGGTTTGTATATAAAAAATTAATGCTCAATTACAAGGAATAACACTTAGGCGTATGTTGTCTACAATTTTGTAAGTTTCTCGTCTTGTTTTTGCTGCCTCTGTTTGTAATTATTTGTTTTCCTGCCTCCTGCTTACCTTCCTTGAATATCTGCTCCTCATTTTCTTTTTTAGTTAAAATATATTTTATATATATATGCGTACATGGGTAGAAATTGTTGTATAATTTGTTGTTTCGCTAATTTGATACAGTACACACACACATTCAATTTGTTTTTTTTTTTTGTTTTTGTATTTTCGTTTCGTTTCTTTAGAGACAGATAGAGAGAGTAATACATTAAGGATTATATGCCTGGCTAATGCAAATATCAATTAGACAATCAGTGGAGATTCGAGTGTTTTTGGGGGGAAAATTGAGTTTTTATTTTTGTTTTGTTTGTTTTTTGAGGGAGATTTCCTTTGCCGTTTCGTAGTAATTATCATTATTTGTTTTTCTTATTTTTTTTTTTTTGCTTATATGGTAGCTATATAATTATATAGTGTATATCTAGTTGGATGACAAACATACATATACAGACACACACACTGAGATGCACATTTAGTTTAGCTCGAAAATTAGATTTTGCTCGGTTGTTCTTATTGGTTTTTTTTATCTTGGTTTTTCTATAAAGAGTTTTCCGTTTTAATGCGGTTTGTCTCTCCGTTTTTTTTCTCTCCCTTAGCCTCCTCTTCCTCCTCCTCCACTTTCTCCTTCTTCTACTCGTCCTTCTCTATTTTCTCCTATACTAGACACACAGACATTTAGTGGTATTTAAATATATATATTATATATCTAGCATTAACGCTATTGTGTTTATATGGAAATTTGTTGCTGATCGCGCATTAATTTTAACATACAATTACAATTACATTTATAACATACACAGATACACAGTAAATTTTATTTAACCATCTTCATACTAGATGTCTTCCCTTTCTATATTTTTCATTTTTGTTTTTCGTTTTTATTTATTCTTTTTGTTTTTGTTTTTTTTTTTTGTGCGTTGTCGTTGGCGCCCCCGCCCCGCCCCTTTGTGTTCTTATTATTGTTGTGATAGGTGGTGATGGTATGTATGAATGGATGGCAAAAGGAGGAGGAAACCGGGTGGGTGGTTAGTGGTCTGTGGGGCGGGGTCTGGGGAGCGGCGAGGGGAGGTCTCACTCAATGGATTCAACGACAAAAGGACGCACAAACCACACAGAGAAAATACTTGACGCGTTTACATATATCACGGAAACACAACAAAGCCATCGATACAAAATATATATTGTATATATAAAAAATAAATATACCCTACTTAGCCAAGTTCTGTTGTCTCGCTCGCAAACACACAATCACGAATCACGAATCACACACACTGCACACAATATATAGACCCAAGTATATTATATACTATTATAAATATGTATATGCCTGGCTGCTGATCCTCATTTGAATGAATCGATCGATCGATGGGCTGCCTCCTACCTCCTCCTAATGCATCCTGCCTTCTGCATCCTGCCTCCTGCCTCCTGCTTCCTGCTTTCTGCCTCCTTACTATGGCTATTACTAAAATGTTCCTTATTGATCACCCAGAGAGAAAAAAAAAAAACACAAAGCACACATGGCACTGTATGGGGCGCCCACATTCATACACAAACGCACATTGAATCTAACTATCTCGTTTTGGCTTCGCGTCCGGCGGTCAAGTAGAAGTCCAAGTGTGCCATGGCCTGGCGGGGATCTAGGCCTAGACCATGACAAATGCATCCTTGCCGCAAAACAGATACGGGAACTGATCGATCATTGTCTGGACAATGTCCTCTAGATACGGACGCAGCTGCTCAAAGTGGCCCATGTCGGTGAAGTCGATGGGTATGAGTGTGGGCCACCAGCATATGGCCAAGTTCTTGCTGTCCATGCTATTTAGCTTCGAGTTATCCGAGACGCTATAAAAATAATATATAATACACCTTATGAATCACGAATTATAGTATTAAATCAAAAACTTACTGCACAAAGTGCTGGAATATGTATTTGAGTATGGCAAAGTTGATTTGTGGCAACTTCTGGAGCAGCGATTTTAAAGCTATCAAGCGGCAACTTCGATCCGTTTTCACCTCCACATTCAGTTTGGAATTCCCCACGCCCCGGGAGCCTGCTTAGAAATCAAATTAGTTAAATAGATGTTACGAAAGTACTATATCTTGTTTGCTATATACCGGCAATCTCCTCCAGCTCCTTGATGATGTCCTTGCTAAACAGCGGTGGCAGGCGCTTGGAGAAAAAGTCCTTCAGTGCCGTGGCCACTGCGTTGACGGGAATGTCCAGCGCATCAATCTCAGTATTGGTATCTGAAGAAGATTTTCAAATATTTATCATATTCTGGGTAGATTGTGGCTAGATCTTACCCTCTTCGAACCGTTGGAAGAGCATATCGACGTGCGCCCTACTACCGGGCACCCTATAAATACCCTCGGAATCTAGGCCCTCCTTCTCGATAAACTCTACGCACTTGTTCAGGAAGATCGGGATCTCGCCCTGCTCGGAGCTAATCATCAGCTTGCCAAACTGCGCCTCCGCGGACTCAACCAGACCCTTAGCATTTTGCTTTAGCTTGCGCTTGAGCTTCTTCTCCTGCTCCTTTTCCTTCTCCTGGAGCTTGCGCAGCCTGGTCGTTTCCTCCTTGATGCGTCGTTTCTCCAGCTTCTCAAAGTCCTTCAAGCACTTGGCGTTCATGTTGTATTCGGGCAAATTCTCTGCACCGAAGATACCAGCAGCCGCCAGCTCCGGCACCATGGAATACTGCATGGGATAAGTTCAAGTTATAAAAAATGTGAAAGATATTCCAAGAAGGACTCACCTCGGGCGACTTGTCGCTCTTCATGAACTCGGGAACGCAAGGATCGGGTTTCTCTGTGGAAAGTCAAAGTAAAAGCAAGGACTTAGTAGGGAAATAAATAAGCGAGGGCCATGCTTAAGTTGAGTTTATATCTAATTTACAATAATTCAAAATCCCTGGGAAAAGGCTAAAAACAGTGCAAAACGAAAAGCAGAAAAAACTAAAAATCACGACACATACTTTTCTCACCTGGCCCGCCGCCAACGGCCATGCGCTGGTAGTGCAGCGGTATCTCCGGCGGACTCACATAGGAGCCGAACGGAGGAACACGCGGCGTTTGGACCGGAATGGCCACCTTCTTTTTCTTCTGCTTCTTGGCGGCCACCGGCTTCTTGCTGTTGGCCTTATAGTAGGCATTCTGCTGGCGTACCCGCCGCTCCGTGGAACTGGCACAGCTATCCGATTCGGTGCAGTCTATGAATGAAGTATATAGGTGGACTGGTGTGAGAAGTGGGTTTCCTCTAAGGGTTAGGGATTTTAGCGGTGGTTGGTGCAGGGTGAAAGGTGATGCAAAGAGGAGCGAGTGGGACACAGACAGAGATTGCGATTCTATGATTTATTTTCTTAATCCAAAAGGAACTTGATCTTAACATGGCATTTTGAATTTAAGTCGTTAACTAACAATTTAACGGATCTAATAATTGAATTCAAGGAAACAAATAAGTAAACAAATTTAATTGAGCAGAGATTGAGATTGGGAGAACTTTCGTTAGTAGAACTCACAGACTTTTAATAAGAATTCGGAATACAAATAAGCTACTCATTCAAAGTTCGTCACAAAACAGAAACAAAAACAGAAACTATTGTCATATATAAACATATATATATATACAATTTCGATCTGTTAACATCAAGTTCGTGGGAGTTTTATATATTATTTATTGTCTGTGTGGAGGGTGAGTAGCGATTCGGGTGAGTTAGTGGGCGATAGAAAGTTAGTCCTAGCAAACCGACGATGACGATGACCCGCCCAATACCTTCATTTTCGTAGATCTGCTCGTATTCGGCCAGCTCCTCGGAATCCTCATCCTCGCCATCCAATTGGGCATGATCATAGCGTTTACCATCCTTGTCGCCGGACTCCAGATACGAATCCGCCATGCTGCCACTGCCAGTGCCCAATCCCAGGCCCAGGCCAGTGCTACCCGATCCTGAACCAGATCCCGATCCTGAACCCGAGCCGGTGAAATTCATTTTGGCCAACGCATCGCTGACCAACTGGAAGTTCTTCATATTGAGCTTGCCCGGCTGCTGGGTGGGCAGGGTAAATGTCGAGGAGCTCATAGCCGGGCAATTACGACTGGGCGCCTCGCCCACCTTTAGCGTTTGGC